AAGAAAGAGTATTTAGAGGGTGTTTGGATTGGCTTAAAAGTTGGTCAAATCTACTTTGAAGTCAGTTTTTGACTTCTGGCGTGTTTAACAAATATAAAAAATAATTTAAAATAAGTCAAAAATGAATTAAAATAAGTTAGAAAATGTTTGGCAAGGTCAAAATGACTTAAAATAAGTCAAAAACCAATTGTAGGTCTCCCCCCTATTTTTTATTTTTTGACTTAAAAATCATTTCAGTTTAACTTTTTATTTTTGACTTTAAAACTACTTTTAAAGTCAATCCAAACTAGCACTTAATGCTGAGGGTTGAAAAATATGATTGTCCTTTTTCTATATGTCAAAAGTGACAAATAAAAATCTATTTTAGGAAAAAATAACATGTAAAAATGAATCAAAAAAATATTTTGAAATGCTCCGCAAAGTTATCAAGAATGTCAGAAATTATTGGTCTTAAAGTACTGTTAATTAATAGCTATAGCGGCAACGTGAATCGCTCGTTGCCTTTATCTATATTTACATTCAATTTCTGTTTGAATATTGCCATATATATATATATATATATATTAAATATAAACGTGAAATTAACTTGCGTGGTTTTTAGATAAGCTTACAAACTAGCTTATAAGTATGATGATTTATTCTGCGTGTTTTATACAAATGTCTTAAAAAAAATTATATGATAATTACAAATAAATCGAACATGTTTCACCATCTTTAACAATATAAATAATTTCATAAACTTTTCTTAAAGTTTGGACTTATAACACATACCTTTTTTGTGAAAATAAATATTACAAGAATCTATCTTTTTTTTTATATTTGTAACATTACTATTTATTTAACTTATATTATGTATGTATGCCTGTGTCAATTTTTGTCACGACCCAAATTGAGTCGTGAGTGGCACCCACACTTAACCTCCTAAGTGGGCGGACCAAGGAATCTAAACCCCAACATATTCCAATAATTCAACTACGAATAACAACAATAACGCGGAAACTCCAAAACTTATTAAAGTAACCAATCAAATAAACCTCTAAAGTCTATTACATATTATCCCCAAAATTTGAAAGTCATCACATCAAGGACATCTGTTCTTAACATATCAAGTCTAAAAGTATTAGAGACCCTAAAATAAGTAAATACGTTGGTCCATGTCCGAAAACCAAGGACATCACACCATAACTGAGAGAATCCAGCACGAGCTAGAAGGAATAGCTCACCCTGAAATCTGATGTGCGGGAGACTGGCTAGAGCTGAGGGCGAGTCGAAGTCGATGGTACACTTGCTGCACTCCACAAAAGAAAAACGCAGAAAACACAAGTAGGAGTCAGTACAAGGAACACGTACTGAGTAGGTATCATCGGCCAACCCAAAATAGAAACTAATATACAATGAGTAATAGTATAAAGTCAACTATAGCACTTAGCAGGTGATAAGAAACCACAACATGAACAAGTAACAGTTGAAGCAAGTACGTAATCAATCACAATATCAAGCACACACACGAGGACTCATGCCTCTACATCACACCCGTTTGGGAAATGCGTTCATTGAGATTGAGTACATTAAGTTAATTCAATATCTTTTTCCTTTAAGGTTACCGTGTCGGAACGTGACACTCCGATCCAATTACACCGTGTCGGAACGTGACACTCCGATCCAAAAATACCGTGTCGGAACGTGACACTCCGATCCAAAAATACCGTGTCGGAACGTGACACTCCGATCCAATAATATTATTAATTTATCATTTATTATCACTACTTTTCAGTTCATTAATAATATTACATCAAGCCTTCTTTATTCAAGGCATAACTTCAATAGAGAGGTGTTCAGATTACAAATCCCACGGTCTCAGGATTTTAGACCAATCACAACCACACAATCAAGCCACACAATCACACAGTCAAGTACATAGAGAACTTCACAATATCAGTCGATGCATATCAATCGCTATTAAGAGTTTATCTATCAAATAGAACAAACCATAACCTACCTCCACCGAAGAACCGAAGTCAAGCAAACTACTTCTCCAATGCTTTTCCCTTCCTCAATGCCTCCGAACCTTTCCAATCTATCAAATATATATGCATAATTTGTAAGTTAACAAGCCTATAAACACTCATATTATTCTATGTCCCTCCTATATCCAAAAACTCACCTAATTCTATAATCAATTTCCTAAAGTTCAAACCTATGTGTAAGTCTTAATTCCTCCCATTAGCATATCTCTAATGGAATTTAAATAATTCGATGCACCTAATATTTAATAATATCTATCTCAATATATCTAAATTTAAATTATAATGTGACAATAATAAGAACAATTGAAAATCGGAAACTCACTGGTTTGCGAAACCAGTAGCATACTACGGAAATAAATCATAGAACTACCCTTCCAATCTATGTGTGTTATCACACCATGATCATTATCCAATGATTATATCATGGATACTTTTGAGCATATATTCCCCAAATTCACAAGGATCACAAGTAGCCGTAAGAAAATTATTGAATTTAACATCACAGTTTCTAATTCTCTTCTTTAATTCTTTCCACTCAACTTTAATACTATAATAATGTCTTTTATCCCTAATTTCCTATACACAACCATAATATAATAATAATATTAATATTAATCTGCAACAACTACATCTACAACCCAAAGCCGCCACCACTCAACTTGCACTACATTTTATCCCTATATATTTGATATTGCACCACATGCAAACGCCTAATGGTAACTCTAAACCATCAAATATAAATTAAGGCAATTGAAGAATGAAGTTACCTGGGTGTCGGTTTTCACTGGTAGACGCCGCAGATAAGGTTTTCCTCTACCGTAAATCTTCTTGTCTAGTCTTTTAATTATTTAGGGTAAATAATTATCAACTAATAATTAAATAATTACTAAACCCTCTAATTTATTCTTATTCATGGGCCATAATTTAATTAACTAAATTATGGACTTAGTCCATTAACTACCACAAATAAAAACAATGAAAACCACCCCACTAAATTTATAATAGTAGTTACGAATAGTCTAAAATACCCATTTAAAATCTATCGAAAAGTCTTTTACGAAATAAAAAGCTCTAGTACTCAAAACGAGCAAATGGGTCGTTACAATTTTATGTCTTCTTTTATTTTGTATAGCAAAGTGGGGTTTGGGATATAATTCTGTCATTATTAAACCTTTATTTTTAAACATATTCGTATTCATTAAAAAAATGATAGTAATAATTAAATGAACTCTCCTATATAATTGTTCTTTCACCCAAAATGTCGTTATTATGCAATTATCGGCAACAAATTAAAGTTAATAAATAATAATAATAATAATAATATATAAATTTTCTCATTTAATATAATTAATATAATATTATAAGATCAAGTCGGCCCAAACGTGGCAATTTTCGACTGCCTCATTGTTGGGTTCAAAAAGGAAATATTAAAAATGGAGACTTGATATAAAGGTCAAGCAAATAAGACATAAAAGTTAGGCTCTTCATTTTCTTAAACTACTTTTTACTCCCTCTATTTTTAAGCACGTCCCCCACACCCACTTAATAATTAAATTTAAAAATGTCATGTAATTAATAATGGTTTTGTTAAGACAATCATATCAAATTATGTGGATTCATGTACTTTGATCGATGATTCTATTTAATCATAACTCCTAATAAATAATGAATTGAAGGTTTGACAACCCAAAAATGGATATACCATTATGGCCAAACGTCTTATTCCACTTCATTTTCACCTACGTAATTTCGAAGAATAACATGAATTTTAACTTACTTTAGTACGCTTTTCCTCTTTTATTTCTCAATTACCATCTTAATTAGATTGAACCATATTAATTTTGGCATATAACATACTAATCTTTATTAAAAATTTCGTTGTGCTAAACGCGACTTCTTTAATCGTGCAGCCGCCACCTGCCCCTTTTTCCTTGCTAAGAGAAATAGAACGTGTCAGTGTCAGATTGATTGGATTTTTCATGCCATAAATCTAAACAGGTACGTATTTAAATATAATTATAACGTGAGAGAATGATAAACTAAAATAAATTTCGACTAAAACATTGTTAAGATCGATAGAGAGAAATGTGCAAAGGCACAGACCGCACGTCCTAATTTCCATCTAGAGGTTGAATAAAATTAATTAAACTAATCTAGCTAAATTCATTTTCTAATGATATATTCATCGATACATCTTTTAGCTTCTGTAAGTTCCGAAGGTTAAACAAGCGACGTCCATTGATTCCTTTGACTGAACTTCAATAGAATATGCAATATAGAAAAACAGACCAAACCAATCGTCTGAAGAAAGTAGTAATGTTCACACTATGGAGATAAACACCACGTATCTAAGATTTTGGCCTTGTCTACCAAATTTTAAACGAAAAATTATTATATATACTTTTAAAATATCAAGTAGCTTATCACGAATTAAAAAATGCTTACGTATATTACACTTAGATACATATATTTTTGCTACCAGATACATGGTAAGATACGTAATATTGTAAACTAGAGTGTATTTAAATAATTAGTTCCTTATAAACTAAAGTCTCCAATTTTAAATTCGGTTACACCGTTAAAACTTAAACTACTACTCAATCCTACCCAAAACATGACATTTAATTTGCACCTAAAAGAAGGATAGTAATACTAATTGATAAGCCTCTAATTAATTATGACATGATTATTCTAGTGTAAGCATATATTTTCAAAGAAAAATGTGGGATTGGCCACCCCATTCTATAGTTACAACTTAACGTAAGGGCGGTTATTTAAACCGTCAACACGCGTCTTTCTAAGCAATACATAGGAAAAGAAGAGGAACATGCACAATCGTAGCCTAGCTCCCTCTAAAAAAACCATTTTAGTGACTACTCCTACTTATATATATTTCAATTCATTTGGCCTATATTGATTATTATAGCATTCGTTTTGTTGTTTCTATTTATGAACAAAAAAGATCAGTAGATGATGGCGGCTCATAACATAGACATGTTCGAACAAGTAAATACTGAAACAACAAACTCCAATAGTACTCATCCTCATTTTACCATGTAAGAAAATTAAATCATACATCTTTGTTTTTCCACATTAATTAAAATCAGATCAAAACACTTGTTCTAATTTCTTGTTGTAATTCATCAAATTCCAAATACGTTTGTTGTATGATTTGGTTTCAAAAATTCATTTTTCGTATAGTAAAGTGTACTATAGCTAGCAGCCTTTTTTTTTTTTTTTTTGTCTCGTTCAGGTAAAAGAAACACTTATATATTAGTCGCTATATATCTATAATCTATATCATGTGGGATCATAACTGACAAGTTGTACATGTGATGCATCTGCTTTCATAGAAATATTGAACCATATACATGGACTATGGTTGACGTTGACTAAGTCATTTTAATTTCTGGTGTTTTATTGTATCTCCTTTAATTTTGAGCCATTGTTTCTTTCTGCAGATCCCGGCAGATTGTGGCCACCTTTCCACCAGCTTTGTGGTCGACTTTTCCGGTGAGTTATAATTCGCTATGAAATTTAACGGATTTACTTTCTTTTTGGTTCATTGTACTTGTTACTTTGGCTTTCACATATTATTACTTGCTTAACTTTGGTCATATGCTTGTGTTTTTCTTTCACTCACCAATTAGATTTGATGTAATCTTAAGGCCAGTTCGGACTACTTCAGCTTTGTGCAGCTGGTGTAAATATAATTAACCCGATCGACGATTCTGTAAATCATTGGCCTGTTTTCACCCAAAGTTGGGGATCTAGCTTAATTCATTTGAGATCCAAGCAATGTTTATAACAGTTGAGAGCTGGCTCGCTTGACAAAACAAAAAATATCATATAATTTTGAGTGGACAAAATGAATGAACTCTTGAACAATTCCCAGATCTAATTAGGTTGGTGGGCATATATGTCTAATTGCCAATTACTCACAAAGGGCTTTTTTTGGTATGTGGTTGGAAAGAAATTAATCTTTTTCAGGAACACAATATCTATATTTTTGGATCTACTAGATACATCAATTATGTGGAAAACTTAAAAGCCAATAATTAATCGCCAAAATCTACTAAAAGCTAAAAGCTGAAATAGACTGACGCCTTCCTTTCCAAACATTCCTAGGACAATGCATAACTGAGGATATGACTATTAAAGTTAGATTTTATTGTTTTTATTAAAATTAAGATGAATGAATATTAAGATGTACATCAAACTTTGAATGTTTAAATCAAAATATACGTTTCAGAGGTTGAATTAAGAAAATATTAATTACAGTACTTTTTTTCCTCAAAATTTGAACATACGTACAAAATGTTGTCTTTATTTAAAAATTAATACGTAAATAAATAATTAAACTAATCAGATATGGTATAAATAAAATATTTTGAAAAATTATATGTCTGTTGATAGTAATGATGTCTAAGCGGAGATGGTTTTGCCTGATGTGGTACATGTGGATAGTAATTGATAGTGATAATAGTTAATAATAATGGTTATGATGACGGATAGAACATATTAATGGTAATGGTTGATGTGGTAAATAGTAGTGGCGATAGATAATTGTAGTAGATGACTGTTAATAGGGGTGGCGAATGATGATGAGGGAAGTTGGCAATATATTGTGATAGCTGATGGAGATGATTGTAGCTAGTAATCGATGGCTGTTGTGGTAAACATGGTTAGTGATAATGATTTTAAATGATGGCTAGTGGTGTTGACAATTGTCCATGGACTGCGTGTGGGATAACGCATGGTAGTTGATAATAGTACGATCTCAGCTATGGGCTTGATGTTTGTACACAGGCCAAACACACGTAAATGATTCTTTTGGCGACGAGATTTGAAATCAGGACCTATGTTATCATGCATGTTGAAAGCTCAATAGTTCATCAGAACAAATACATGTATATCAATACCTATCAATACCTGACTATTTAATCAACGTTTTATATATCTAGGTGGATGATGAATTTAACTCTGAATTGGAAGAAATTTTGACTGATCAGAACAGGTGAGAAACAAAGAGCTATTTGGAATGTTTTTCAGAATTATGGTTACCACTACTTCTCTTTATGTTGCATTATTAGCAGTAGGATTTAAGTTAATTACAATTGATGTGGAATGAATTTTTTCAATATTGGTGTGATTTAACATGTTATTGCAAATTACTTATCATATATTTTAGGCTACTACACAATACGTTTTACACTGTTAATGCATAGAACTTAATCTCAATTTAATTTTAAGTAGTGCATTGATGGTGGAGAAGAAAATTACAATCACATCACTTGTACAATAATTTAAAGTAAAACATTATGTTAAGCATTTAGCATTAATGTTGTATAAACTGTTTTTTTAGAAACAACCTCTCTACCTTCACAAGATAGGTAAAGTCTGCGTACTAATCAACCTAGACTCTTAGAACTTTCATTGCCTCTGTAATTAATTTCTTGTTGTATCTGAGACTAAACTATATTCCACTTTGTACACATATAAAACAGGAATTCCCAGAAGAAACTCGATCCTTGTGAATCTAAATGTTTATGTTTAAGGTTCTCACACGAGGTTGCCCCAGTGATATTTACTGGAGAGTGTATTTTTTCCAAAGGAACCAAAGTGGAATTGGTTGATGCTGTTACAGGACAACAAGTGGGACAGGGGCATCTAGCCTCAGCACAAGTTGAAATATTTGTACTTAATGACGACGAACTAAACAGTCATATTAAGATTCAAACAAGAGGTGGAACATCAAGGCGCGACCAAAACCCATATCTGAGGTTGGAAGGAGGCGTTGTTTCTGTTAACAAAATTATATTCAAATACTCTCCAAATCATATGAAGAAGTCGAACGGGGTAAAGCTAAGAGCAAGGGTTGTCGATCAACCTGAAGTGATAGAAGCCGTGACAGGACCCTTTACTGTCAAGGATAAACGTTCAAGTGAGTATTATATTTCTACTTTTTTAACATTAATAAACTAAATAGTGAGTCAATTTGAGTTACGTTTTTCACAGAATGCAAGAAGCGGTACCCTCCATCACCAACGGATGATGTATGGAGACTAGAACATATTTACAAAAATGGTGCTTTCCATAAGCGGTTGACTGAAAACGGTATAAAAACAGTGGAGGATTTCCTAATTGAACTCCAAAACAATCCTCAGAGGCTACGGCATGTGTTGTGGACCCACATTCTGCCGAGCTGGATAACTTGAGTGGGACACCAAGGAGAAGCACGCGTCTGAGGACTGTGCCTAAGAAATTAATTGATTATGTTGTGACTGGGGCAAATCACGTGAAGGGCCACACAAGTACTGAGAGTTAGTATAAGTAGCTAAAATGAGGATGAGTAGGGTAGTGAACAAGTTATAGCAATTTCTTATTCTCATCTCTGTAATCTTCTCATCCTCATCACCTTCTTTATCCTTATTAATGCTTTTGTATTATTTCTGTTTCATTCAAGTTTTAGATCTATTGTAAGCAACTTGGAAGTGTTTGTTTATAATATACTACTTGGGATCCTTATTGTTCCATTGGTGCTTTCATTGTGCCGACAATCATGTCACCGGATTCGAAACTCATAGCTCCCGACGGTTCCAACTCTTCTGGCCTTTCTGATGCTGACCTTCGTTCCCACCTGGCAAGTCAACAGTTAGTGATTCAAGATCTTGCTGCTCAGGTAGCAAATCTCAGCTCTCGTTTGCCGTCGCTGATGGTTGCTCCACCTTCTAGCATAGCTGGTGGTTCATCTGGTGGTCATATGCATGTTCGCCATAAACCGGCACCGGTTGAATTTGGTCGTTTTAATGGTGCACAGCCAGACGCTTGGATCTTTCAGGCTGATCGTTATTTTGATTTCTACGGTATTATCGCTGAACATAAATTGACCTTGGCTTCGTTTTATCTTGACGGTGAAGCCTTGGAGTGGTATAGATGGTTCTATCGTAATAAGTAGTTGAGTGATTGGCCTCGATTCACAGAGAAACTGCTTAGTCGCTTTCGTCCCCGTCATGTCCTTTCGCCGGAAGGTCGTCTGTCTAAGTTAATGCAAACTTCTACGGTTGCAGACTTTCGGCGTCGTTTTGAAGCTGTTCTGAATGAAACGATGACGTTGCCTGAGGAGTTTTTGGTGGAATGCTTTCTTTCGGGCCTTCGACCCGATATTCTAACTGCTGTTACTGCTCATGAGCCCACACGGTTGGACCAAGTCATTAACCTAGCCCATATTCAGGAGCAACGTATTATAGCTGAAAAAGGGCCGCCCCGACCCGCTTTTGCTCGGACCCAACCTTTATTGCCTACGCCGACATCCCAATCAGCTCCAATTGCGCCGACGACGCCTTCTAATGGTTGTCTTCCCTTTAAGCGCCTATCTCAAGCTGAGATGCAAAGTCGTCGGGAAAAAGGGCTTTGCTTCAATTGTAATGAGAAGTTTTCTGCCGGCCATCGTTGTAAGACTGGCCCTCAATTGTTGCTTTTGTCATATGAGGTCGAGGATTCTTTGCTTATGCCGACTCCCGTGCTTGCTGATGAGGTCCTCGCCGAGGAACTTCAATGTTTGGAGGTTCAGGCTCACTCCACTATTTCCTATCATGCCTTAACTGGCAGCGTTTCAGATCATGTGATTCGTCTCACCGGACATGTCACTGGTTCTCCGGTACAGGTGCTTGTTGACGGCGGTAGCACACATAATTTTATCCAGTCCCGGGTGGACAACTTCTCAAGTGTGACGGTGTTTGTCAGGGTGTGCCATTGACAGTTCAGGGATCAACTATTCATTTAGATTTCTTTGTGTTAGCTGTCCATGGGGCTGATCTGGTTATTGGGGCATCGTGGATGGCTACATTAGGTCCTGTGGTCACGGATTATGGGGCTCGTATTTTTGAATTCAACTATCGTGGACAGAGGTACAGTTGGCATGGCGATCCACCAGATGTGCAACTCATCCAGTTGCATAGCCTTCGTCGTTTATCAGCTACTGATGCCATCTCTTCTTATTTCCATTTAAAATTGGTGGTGGATTCCCCACCAGCAGGGGACGACACTTCACCGGATATTATTGCCTTACTAGACTATTTTTCAACTGTATTTCAGAAACCTCAGGGCCTTCCACCGGTGCGACCCCAAGATCACACCATCCATTTGCTACCAGGGACGGAACCAGTGAATGTCCGCCCATACCGCTATCCCTATTTCCAGAAGAATGTCATGGAACAATTAGTTGGTGATATGATTCGCGATGGGGTTATTCGTCCCAGCACCAACCCTTTTTCTTCGCCTGTTCTTTTAGTTCGCAAAAAGGATGGCACTTGGCGTTTTTGTGTGGATTATCGCGCCTTGAACGCTGTCACAGTGCGTGACAGATTTCCAATTCCCACTATCGATGAGCTTTTTGATGAACTTTATGGTGCCCAATTTTTTTCTAAATTGGATTTGTTATCGGGATATCATCAGATTCGGGTCCGCTCAGGGGACGTTGAAAAGACTGCATTTCGGACTCACGAAGGGCATTACGAGTTCCTTGTTATGCCATTTGGTCTCTCCAATGCTCCATCCACATTTCAAGCGACCATGAATGATATATTTCGCCCGTATTTGCGCCGCTTTGTATTAGTTTTTTTCGATGACATTCTAATTTATAGTCCTTCTTGGACTGCCCATCTTGAACAATTACGGTTAGTCTTGCAATTGCTTCAGGAGCATAAATTGGTTGCTAAGCGGTCGAAATGTGTCTTTGGCCAAGCATCTGTTGATTATTTGGGCCATGTTATCACTACCACTGGTTTAGCAGTAGACCCAACCAAAATTACGATCATTCAGCAGTGGCCTACGCCTTTTTCTGTGAAAGATGTACGGAGTTTCTTAGGGCTGGCTGGGTACTACCGTCGGTTTATTCATCATTTTGCATCCATAGCTGCACCGTTGACTGACTTGTTACGTAAGGAGGCCTTTGTGTGGGCTGTACCCCAGCAGGCAGCTTTTGATGCATTAAGGCTTTGTCTCAGCTCCACCCCTGTTTTGGCGCTTCCGGATTTTAGCAAAGCTTTCCAATTGGAAACTGATGCCTCCGGCGTCGGCATTGGAGCTATATTATCGCAAAATGGCCATCCAGTGGCCTTTTTCAGTCAAAAACTTAGCAAACGCATGCAACAAGCTTCAACCTATCACAGGGAAATGTTCGCCATCATTCAAGCTGTTGGCAAGTGGCGGCAATATTTGTTGGGACGCCAATTTACCATCGTGACTGATCAACAGTCACTCAAGAACTTGACCACCCAAACTATCCAGACACCTGAGCAACAAAAATGGCTTAGAAAATTGGTTGGCTATGACTTCACCATTATCTATCGACCTGGCCGACATAATGGTGCTGCGGATGCGTTATCTAGAGTTCCGGATGTTATTTACATGGCACTCTCTAAGAGCGTTCCCACTCTTCTTACGGAATTAAGACACCTTAATACCAGCCATACTGAGTTGCTTGCTCTAAAGCAATCTATTCTCACGAGCCCTACCTCTGTTCCAGCTTATTGTATTCGTGATGGGTTAATCTTTTACAATGGGCGTCTGGTTATTCCCTCAGGTTCTTCCTTATGCCAACAATTTCTATTGGAGTTTCATGCATCTTCCATTGGAGGGCATGCTGGAGTTGCCCGCACATACCATCGTTTGGCTTCTAATTTCTATTGGAAACACATGAAGCAAGATGTGAAAGTTTTTGTCTCCACGTGTCAAATCTGCCAGCAGGTGAAAGATATCAATCATCACCCTTTAGGCCTTCTTCAACCCCTCCCGATTCCCGAGTTGGTTTTTGAAGACATTGCCATGGATTTTATCACGTGTCTCCCTAGTTCAAAAGGCAAATCAACAGTCATGACAGTGGTAGATCGTTTGTCCAAATACGGACACTTTATTTCACTTCCATCTACTTTCACGGCCAGAACAGTGGCTGAGGCTTTTGTGGTTGACATCATCCGCTTACATGGTCCTCCACGCACCATAGTCACTGATCGCGATCCTAGGTTCATTCATGAATTTTGGCAGGAGATACATCGGCTGCAAGGAACTACTCTCGCCATGAGTACCGCCTATCACCCACAAACCGATGGACAATCAGAGGCTTTAAATAAATGCTTGGAGCAGTACCTACGTTGCTTTGTGGCCGACACTCCAAAAGATTGGGTTGCCATGCTGCCTTGGGCTGAATTTTGGTACAACACAGCCCTCCAAACTTCAGCTGGCATGACGCCTTTTGAGGTAGTCTATGGCCGCAAACCGCCGTCTATAACTCGCTATGTCATGGGAGATAGTTCGAGTGATCTGGTGGACCAGTTCTTATTACAGAGGGATGAAGTTTTACAGTTGCTCAAGTTGAACCTGACCAAGGCTCAGAAACGTATGAAAGTTAATGCGGATAAGGCGCGCACTGACATCCATTTCCAAGTGGGAGATTGGGTTTATGTCAAACTCAAACCATATCGCCAATATTCGTTACGCGTGCAGCCTTCCCACAAACTTGGGCGCAAGTTTTTTGGACCCTTTCAGGTCCTCAAGAAAATAGGAGCAGTTGCTTACAAACTTGACCTTCCGGAGGCCGCGAAGATTCATCCTGTTTTTCACGTTTCATTGCTCAAGCGTTGTATTGGACAGCCTGAGAATCAAGTGACTCCTCTACAATTGACTGAATCAAACTCTGATTTGCCACTACCATCTATGAACCTTGAGGACAAGGTTCTGAATTCGGAAGGGAGTAATGTTGTGGACCCACATTCTGCCGAGCTGGATAACTTGAGTGGGACACCAAGGAGAAGCACGCGTCTGAGGACTGTGCCTAAGAAATTAATTGATTATGTTGTGACTGGGGCAAATCACGTGAAGGGCCACACAAGTACTGAGAGTTAGTATAAGTAGCTAAAATGAGGATGAGTAGGGTAGTGAACAAGTTATAGCAATTTCTTATTCTCATCTCTGTAATCTTCTCATCCTCATCACCTTCTTTATCCTTATTAATGCTTTTGTATTATTTCTGTTTCATTCAAGTTTTAGATCTATTGTAAGCAACTTGGAAGTGTTTGTTTATAATATACTACTTGGGATCCTTATTGTTCCAGCATGTAAGTAGTTTCTAATTCTTTGTCTAAGAAAATTCAAAGTTGAGTGACTTTCTGAGAGAAGAGTGCATAGTTGAGTGACCATATGAGATATTATATATCTATGCGCAACTTGTGATATTTTGTGGTGCACCTACATGTATGTACGTAATTTCCTGCATCTGGATCTGTTTAGGCCAATTTACTGATAGTATTTGTCCAGGTTCTACCTCATAACAGTTAGTAATTTTTTTGTAAGAAGCAATACAAATGAGTACTTTTTACTTTCTGTGCGTGTAGATCCTTGGCAAAAGCATGTATGAAAATTGTTGGAAAAAAGTTACAACGCATGCTAAGACTTGCAATCTTGATGGGAGAAAGTACCATCACTTGGGGAATTTGGTCGCGGTTGACGAATGCCAGTCTTTAGAGTTTGAAAATACTTCAGTGAGTATTTGCTTAATTAGTAATATATACCCTGTTTGAGCTTTGAAAATCTCTTTGATTTTGCAATGAACTAGTTTAATTTGTCATATTTGATTTAGGGAGCAGCTGAAAGTAACCAGTGGGTTGAGAGTGCTGAATGTTCTACATCTTATGCAATTGCTGACCGGCAATACGAGTCAGATCATGAGATGTCTCTTGATATCACATCTGTGATTTCAGAATCACAATATTGGGAGAATATTATGCAATTTCTTGATTCTTAGTTAGACATGCTTTACATTTTCACTACTACGTTTAATTCATGTCACGCCTTTTCTTTTTAGGTCGTTTGAAAAAGAATGTTATTTTTTTCCTTATTTGACAATTATTAAATGGTTTCTTTCGTACCAAACATATCACACCCGTACTTCTTTCCTGTCCAGCTCGTGTGATTCTATAAATTTCTCTATGGTTTGGTCGTCTTAGAACAACTAACTTTTGTCTTTTTGCTAGAAATACTTGTTGCAATTTAATAATGAGATTAATTTACTTAAGTTTTACAATTTATTTAATTTTTAATTAACAATCTGTAATTTATTATTTTGGATGTAAATTCCATCTTAGTTAAGATTTAAGAGCAAAGAAAAGAAATTGGTCTTGAAGTACGGTTGATAGCTTTACCAATGTGGCAACGTGAATCGCTCAACCATAATGGACACTTCGCTCATTTGTTGACGCTGTGATAAATAGAGTTAAGTTTCATTAGTTAATCTTCAAACTCAAAAAACAACACAAAAATTTTAAAGATAGTTCACCCACAAATGGACAAACTATAATTCATTTTATTAACTTCTTCTCACATGAATCTCAAAACTCAAAAATTTTAAAGATAGTTCACCCACAAATGGATGAACTATAATTCTTTTTATTAACTTCTTCTCACGTGAAGCTATATCATATATCAATTTTTTAGTGTATTGTGAAGTCTATTTAATACATAAAATCGTAAGCTTCTTAAACAATGAAAGTTTTTAAAAGATTTGAGAATTTTTTTCGTACAAAAAAAAATTCACTATTTATTTGCTTACAATCAATAATAAAAAAAACTATTGAGTAAATTTTATTTTTTAATATTTAGATCAGCGAGTATTAATAATACGTACTAAATTAACTAGGTAAATTACAATCACTAGTAAATTAGGTTGAAGTACAAAATTATTTATAAATAAAATTGATAGTCGCCGAATTATAGACAAACTCCAATTTTTAAACTATTGAATAACAAACACTTGTAAATAAGGTTGAAGAACAATTTTTTTTTAAAATAAATAAATTAGGCAGTTTGCCCAATTATGGACCTCAGTAGTTTTTTTTTACTATAGATTAATTAATTGTAAGCAAATAATAAAATAAAAAAAGTTCTAAAATTTTTAAATATTTTTATTTGTGAAGAAATTGTGATTTTATATATCGAATAGATTTCACCATACACTTAAAATTAAGATATGATATAGCTTCACATCAGAAGAAGTTAATAAAAAATTGTAGTTCGCCCATTTGTAGTCAAACTATCTTTAATTTTTTTGTGATATTTTTTGAGTTTTGGGATTAACTAATGAAAGTTACTTTTGTTTATCACAGTTCACACACAAAGAGCAAAATATCCGTTTTTATCTATATTTTTAGAGAGGGCCCTTTTTTACCAGTAGCATCCAAAAAGTATCCGTTTTAGAACCGGACTTAATCACTCGATGCCTCGATCTATATCTACCTTCAATTTCTATTTGAATATTGTCATATCTATTAAATATAAATGTGAAATTAACTTGTGAATTAGGTGGTTTTTAGATAAGCTTATAAACTAGTTTATAAATATGATAACTTATTCGATCTATGTGTTTGATGTAAACGTCTATATATATTTTTATAAGCTAAGTACTTATAAATAAAAAATGTTTCATCATCTTTAATCACAAAAATAATTTCAGAAATCTTTGCTAAAGTTTGAACTTATAACACATTCCTCTTTTATGATGCTCTCGTTGTCCTAATTTATGTGACACATTTCATTTTTCGTGAGTCAAACATGTTAAGTTAAACCAAAAATTTGCTCATGAAATCTTCAATTTTTTTTAAAAATGAAATTTATGTATATGTGAACTACGTAAAAAGTAATATAAGTTACAATAAATAACAATTCAAAATATTTAAAAGATATATGAAAAATTTATGATCAAATATAGACTTGTTTGAATTTCAAAACGTATCACAAAAATTGAGACTAAGAAAGTAATAAATATTATATGAATTTGTCTTTTTTTGATACTGTGGTAACATGACTATTATTTAACTCATAACGAACATGCATCTATGCCTATATGTCAATTTTATGTCTTCTTTTATTTTGTATAGCAAAATGGGATTTGGGATCTTCACTTAGCTTCATATTGTTCAAGAATTTTGCCTAGACCCCAAAAGATCAAAGACTGAAGGCTATATTTTACTATTTCTAGTCTATAGAGTATTATATGGTGTCCGGGTGGGCCTGATGTTTGTGCACAGGCCAAACACATGGAAATGATTCTTTTGGCGACGAGATCTGAAATGGAGACCTATGTTTTATTCTGATGTCATGTGTGTTGAAGTGTGATTATTGATCTTATCTAATAATATTTAATTATAAAAAATAATATATTTTTAATACAAAATTATATTATGTCTAAACACACAAAAGTTCATTAGTCCAGAACATATGTAACATTTGGGTTATTCATTTACCCAATTTACTATCTCATAATCTTTCTATTCATTGTAAGGAAGAATTTCTCACTTAAAAATAGTGTGATTTTAGTTTGTATTGGGAGGAAGGAAAAAGAGTGGAAGAAATGATGATAAGATAAAAAGAGTGGAAGGAAAGATGAGAAGTATATTTGTCACGATCCGAGTCTACACCGTGGACGTGGCCGGCACTCAAGAACCATTGTTGGTCCCCAAGCGAACCCTCATCCCGGCTGACTACAAGCGGAAGACTATCTTAAGCATGCAAAGGCTTAAAAACTGAATAAATATTCATGAAACTTAAATTCAAACTTTAACTCAAATGAAAACTCTGAATAATAAAATATATTCAACTCGCCCCAAAATTGGCAACTTAAGTCTTTCAAATATTTAATAAAATAAATAAATAACACAAACTTCTCAACTATATTGACTATCTATGAAGCCTCTAATTGATAAAGATAGAAGTCGGGACAAGACCCACGACATCCTAACTAAACTGAAAGGTAAATGAAATCCTTCGGAAGCAAGGAGGCTCACCATAGCTAACTCGAACTCTCGGATGTATCAACGAAGCTCCTGTTGATGATCCTGAATACCTGTGTCTGCATCATGAGAAGATGCAGGCCTAAATAGCTCAGTACGTGGAATGTACGAGCATGTAAGGGGAATTCTAAAACATAACATAAGCTTGAACTTGATAAAAAAGAAACATATTTACCTCTTTTCAAACTCACTGAACTCAACTTAACTTAAGAATAAGATACTCAACTCAAGGATTAGATACTCAACTTCAAAGATATGATACTCGACTCAATGAAGCACAAATCAACTCAAAGATACTCAACTTAAGGTACTCAACTTGAAATACTCAACATAACTGAACTCATTTCAATACACAACAATTTTTAAAGCAAATGCACTACAAAGAAAAGTTGTTTAAAATCATGATGTCAACTTTATCTGTATGCAAGGATACAACATAACTCTGAAATATATGTAGAAATACAAATAACTATGTATATAAAAATACAATAACTTTTGTGGGAGTTTAACTAACCAACAACCATCACTTAAGAGCTATAGTGATGATATAACAATTTACCTCGCGCTGCCAAGGACCATCTTATACCTTGCCATCGGTATATGACCTTACTTAACTTAGTGGATCTACTAGCTTAACTTACGTGATCATCTAAAAAGTATGGCTCGTTAATACCCATGATGGCTACATGATTTTCATGGAGACTTGAGTTAATATGAACTCGCATCCCCACATCGGTGCTCAATACTACTCCCAAAATATACTTTAGCTCATGCTTTTAAAGCAACTTCTTTCTTTAGTTTAAGATAATTACTCAAAGCTTAACCCAAAGGCTCTCTTGGAATCATGTTCCATTTTCTTGCTCAAATGTGTAAAAACATTTATAAACTCTTAGGGAATACTTAGTTCCCTTATTACTTTTGAGAAATGAACTCAACTCTTTACTCTTTGCTTAACTTGAAACTTTCAGTATTAAAACGAAGTTAAAACGTTTATAAAAGACTTCACTTTTACTCTTTACTTAACTTCAACGCTCGAGTCTTAAAACAAAATTAAAACATTTGTAAAAGACTCTTTAAAATATGGTTCATGCCGAATTAGGGACATGAATGACTCAATGCAAGGTTTTCAATAACCATAGATAGAACTTAATACTTGAAACTTAAGAACTTCAATGATACTACTCATTTAAAGAATGCTTAACTCAAAGGGTTCATGCGGAATTATAAGCATGAACTTCTTAACTCAAGAACTCAAAGATACTTCTCAAAAAGGCTTAGGAACTTAACACTTAAAGACTTAAAACTTGAAGATACCACTTCTCTGAAAGATGCTCAACTTACGAAGTTCATGCGGAATTATGGGCATGAAACAACTCGATTCGATGGTCTACATACAAACATGGACTCATGTATACGACTCTTCTCATTCTCTTACTTACTTTCTCAGAACTTAGTTCAAATCTATAGTTAATCTCAAAGGATTCACAATTGAACTCAAAGGCGTATTTGAACTTTACTTTTAACTCTCTCTTGAATGTGAATTAAGAATTCAAGAGTTTTGGTTCATGATATGAAGGATCTCATGATGACAAAGTAGATTCATGAATACATTCTCCTCATCCTTATACTCGCTTGCTCGAGTCTTGAAACAAGTTACTAGTAATTGTAGAAGACTCCTCAAAGACTTTAAGGGACCTTATCAAAAGGTTTGAAAAAACTCTCAAACTCAAATCTCAACTCTACCTTGAATTTGATTTATGAATTCAAGGTTATGATCATGTTAGGAAAGATTTTAGGTGTTTAGAAGTAGCTTAGAGTAGTTAGAATCGAAAAAGAGTGAAGGTGCACTTTAAACGAACTCAAACGGGGTAACCGACGACAAATTGGATGGGGCAGGCGACCCTGGCGCTATGGATGGCGCGGTACCATTTCAAATGCCCTTAACTGTTTTTCCTCAAAATAAAAAATAAAAAAATATCCACACAGTAGCAAGAAAGATTA